TTGTAAGAAACCTAATGCAATAGAAATAGAGCTTAAGATCCCTTGGATATGGAAAAAAAAACAAAGGAAGTGGATGATGTAATATTTGGAGATTCTATGGATATATTTGAAAGAAAAAAAATTGAAAATGTAAGTCTTTATAACAATATCCTTAAATATAAATAAGTATTTTTATTTTTTTTATCTCAAGATCCTTTGAAGAATATTGAAAAATTCAATATGAAGTTTTTAAATTTTATTCTTGAGGCTATGTAAAAAATTATTTCAATATTTAAAAACTTTTTTAAGTTTTTAGATATTGTTCCATATTCATTTTCTAAGAAATTTTTGAGAGATTTTAAAGATAAAATTTAATTTAATTTAATTTAATTATTTGATAAATATTTTCCTCTCATTAAGATTCAATTTAAAAATCTAATTTTTGTAAGATGTTGTTATGAATCCTATTCTTCCAAGTACTTGAAGGTTGAAAATGAAAATTTATTTTAAAAGAATCTTTTTGAGCTAAATAAATGAAAAATCAAATCGTGTTGAAAACAAAAAATCTTTATATAGCTTGTTGAGTTTCATCTTGTAATTTTTATCTTGCGAGAATAATGTCTAAATATTTCATTCCATCCTTAGAGGTTTGTTAAAAAAAAAAAAAGGTGTGATAATATTACTCTAGTAAGCTGAGTACTAAGAGAAAACAACTTGAGTTGTGAAGCTCAACACCTTAAACTAAGCACATGTAAAAACAACCATTTGTAAGAGTTTAAGAAGATAGTAGAAATACTTGAATGATTGACTTGAGGAGATAGTATGTACCCGTGGCTGATATAATCGTTATAAAAATCAAGTTTGCATTTTCTCTTCCTTTATTTCCTAAATTTACAAATTCTAGATTAATTTTTTGGGCAATTAATTTGATTATGTGTTTGTTTACTTTACTTTATTTATTTATTGAATATACTTAGTACTTCGAATTGTTCTTATTTTTGCATTTATTATCATAACTTAAATTATATTCATTGAAAGTATTTGATAATTGTTCATCTCATCATAAATTTAAGAGCACTTAACTTAAGAGCGTAAACATCTCTTATGTTATTTTTCTCAAGAATTAGTCACTTTTTATGTTGCACTAATTGTCTAAATATTGCTATAATTCCTATTAGTTAAATTTTATTTGGGCCAACATTTATGTATCCATATATTTACATATTACTCCATTTAATGAATTTGGTTCAATCTTAAGTGACCATTTGAAATAGTTATAATGTAACATCCAAGTATTTTAATCTTGATTTTATTATTATTATTATTATTTTTTATTTTCCTTTTTTTGTATTTGAATTTTTTTAGATTTTTAATTAATTTAATTTGATTTAATTCAATTTAATTTAATAAAAATAAAAATAATAATAATGATAAAATTATGTAAAAATATTATTTGGATTTAATTGAAATTGATTTTGGGAAAAAGGGGGTGAAAATTTAAATTCTGTGGGTATTTTTGGAAAGAAAATCGAAAATCGGGGGGTCAAAACGCAATTTAAAAAAGTTGTGCCACGTCAGCAGCCCGGTCAGCAGCCCCAGCCAACTAGGACACGTCGTGTGGCAAGAAAGCGCTGACACGGGACGGGCCACGTGGGCGATCTGCGTGCGCGCGATCGGACGATCCAGATCCGTTCCCACGCGCACGGACGCCCCAGATCAAACGTGAGCACAGACGGTCCAGATTCACGCGTACAGACGGCCCAGATTCAATCAGGCACGGACGGCCCAGATTGCATCGCGATGGACGGTCCAGATTTAATCCCAATTAAATCGCGATCGAACGGTCTAGATTTAATCTTGATGGACGGTTGAGATTAAAAGGCAAAGGGTATAAATAACCCCACCCACACCTGACCACAAAACCCTAGCCGCCAGCGCCTCGCCGGAGAAGAAGAACCAGACGCAGGAGGAGCCGGCCGCCGCCACCCACCGCCGCATCGGGAAAGTTTCCGACCGCCGATCGAGGTAAATTTTCTCTTCTTGGCTCGTTTTTCGATGCTGAGTCCGCCTATGGCCAAACTGGAGCCAAACCACCGGCCAAACGCCCAAAAAATCTAGCCAAAGCCCAGCGGCGGCACCACGCCCCCCTCTGTTTTTGCCTCCGATGAGGCCCTTCTGGCCTCCGTTCGATGCAAATTTTATACCACTGTGATCATCGTTCTTTTCTCTACAGGTTTATCAGAGCCAAACATCAAAACGCGACTCACGCTGGAGGAGCCGCTGCCGGTAAGTTTTGGTTTTTTGTGATTTTTTGGCCCACCGAGGGCCCTATGGTTGTTTTATCACAGGGACCGATGCAAGTGTGGCCGAATTCGACCGAAAATGACCAACTCGAGATGAATCGCCGTCGCCAAAGCACGGCGGAGCCGCCGTGCCAGAATTTCGATATTGGCCGAAAGGGGTCCTAGGTCTGATTTAGGAATTTTGGGGACACGTGCAGGTACTGGTAGTGCGTTTCAGTTTTCCAAAAAATATTTAGAAAAATTAGGGATAGCCTGTAGGCGCACTGTAGAGTCGAATTCAGACTTTGAAATAAGTAAGAATCTCTCACTCTATTTCCTATCATGGTATTAAAGCTTAATAAATAATTAAATGGTATTTTGAGACTTTATAGATGTATAATTGATTGAGGTTACCAATGGAGCCCGAGTCTGATACAATGTTGGTCTGTTATTTTTTAATCTATTTTTCAGTATTAAATGCAGCATGATGTCTGATGTATTTATTTTATGGTCTGCTATGCATGAATCGTGGTTTCTTTTATTATGGTTGGTATTATGGTGAACCCGATACTGTGTTGTCTTGTTTGGTGTCAATTACTGGTTTATATGTTTGTGTATGATTGGATGAGTGAGACCAAGAAAAATGGCAAAAAGGTTATGTGAATTGATGAGTGGATAATGTGGACAGTCTGACTACATATTCTGGGAGATGGTGGACGGACCGGGTCCGTAAGGAACCCAGGAACGTGGTCTCTCATATCAGACGGGGTATGGAGACCTTATGTGTTTTGGCGCCCATACCGGATGGGGTATGGGGACGGCCCGTTTCACCCTCATACCGGACGGGGTATTGAGGTTCATGGTTTTGGCGCCCATACCGGACGGGGTATGGGGGCGGCTCTGAAATCATGTTGTAAATATTAATGGTTCACGTGTAGTGGGGTCCCTCTATGGATCCCCATGGATACTAATAGGCTGGTAAAAGAGGAAATCTGTTTTCTGATGATTGAAATGTAAATGTATGATATGTGTTATGTTATAAAGTGTGTATGATTTCATAATATTATAAGGTTATCATTTTCATATGTTGTTTCCATGGATCTCACCGAGGTAAGTGGACAGTAAACGTTTTTATGTTAATAAACGAGTTCGTTATAAATTATGCTTCATTGGTCATTTTTGTTTTTTACCCACATTTACTTCCGTGGCAGTGAGATAGTGTAATGTTTTTACTGGGCTGGTGTAGCTCATTCCTTATTTAACCATTTCATATCAGGAAGACGTTGTTCCCGAGTCCGTTCCGCAGGAAGACGGCGAAGGAGACGCCTAAAGACTTCATAGTTATATTTATAGTTCTTATTTCAAGTATCTCTTTTAATTAGTTTATTCCTTCATGTTTTGAGTACGTTTTGGTTATTGTGTAAGAGATGTTAATCAAAATTTTTATTACGCTTCCGCATTTGAGATTTTTAATACATATATTCAATTTAAATTTCCGGGACCATTATATATAATTTGTGCGTTAAGTTTTGAAGAAGTTTCTAAAATAGATATTCATTGAAGACGTTTTTAATGAAAAGTTGTTTGGTATTTAGTAAAAATAACTATAGAAAGTATTATTATTTTAAAAAATAAAAAGTTGTGTGTTTGCTTAAAGTAACTGTTGAGATTAAATGTCAAAGTTATTTTTAAAAAACTAAAAATTATAGATTTTATGTTCAAATCTATCAAAAATGTATTTTTACTTTAGCTTCCCCAAAAAATAATTTTTATTTTTTCTTGTTGGTTGCAAAATTGTTTTTGAAATGCAAAAGGCAAAGCCAAAATCAAAATTTATCCTAAATGCAACCTAACTAATGCTAGAGTACTTACTCTGCATGTGAATGATGATTTTAACCATGGTGATCATACCCCCCGAATCAGAAAATAACAAAAAGAACTCCTTAAAACTCGTCAGATTTTTGGTAAGTTTTCTTTTATCATTGCTTGGAAAGTATTTTTAGAAGAGAGAATAGATAGAGTATTCACAAAGTTTAATTATTATTTTGAGTTGTCAATCGACTATGTTAGAAATAGGAAAGAAGAAGAAGCAGACCTACATTGTTGTATTCAGATGAAAGGAAAAAATTGTGGTGGCTCTTTTATTTGTACACAATTATCTCCCACTTTGTTTTTTGTTTACACTTTTTTTTATATTTTTCTCAGTCTTCTTTGAAAAAATATTTTATGAGAATATCTATTTCGATACCAAAAGAATTTCTTAATATTTTAGATTTTAGATTCATTGCATTTTTTTTAATAAAAAAAATATAACGGAGATAAAATCTTCTTTTCCAAAATTAAGTGTATTCTTTAAAAATATTTTGAAATTATATATTTTTGTTCAAAGAAATTAGAAAGACTATGCAATTTATTTTATCAAATAACAAATTCGATACATAAAGAAAATAAAACAAAAAAAGAGAAAAATAAATTTAAACAAAAAGAAGAGCAAAATAACTTCTAGAGATGTACGGATCGATCCTCTTACGTTTTGCATGTTGAAGTAAAAATTATACCTCGTGACCCAAATTAGCCCTCCGCCCCAAGTTGGAATAAAAAACAAATATTATTTAGAAGTTTATTCTATTTCTATCCTGTCAGATTTTGAGACGCTCGAAAACAGCCAGCATAGACGTTACATAACAACCATTCGGATAAGAAAAAGCATAACACACACACACACACAGAAATCACACCATGGATATGGCGTCTCCAAAATTGGCTGACTGCTTCCATCCATCAATCCTCCTAAAACCCTCACTCACTTCTCTCTTCATTACCCCTTGCCTTCTCCACCGAACGCACTCTCCAACGCCATCCCACCGTCTACTAACCCGGGCCTCTCTCCAGCACCCATCGTCGTCTCAGTCGCCCCTCAATCGCAGGAATTTTGTCTCCCAGACAGCTGCTATTTCACTTTCTCTTGCTCCTTTAGTCGGCCTCACGCAGCAGGCTAAGGCCGAGGAGCCACTTTCCGAGTGGGAGCGAGTCTACCTTCCTATTGACCCTGGCGTTGTTCTTCTCGACATTGCTTTCGTTCCCGATGACTCGAACCACGGTCAGTTTTTGCGATATCTTTTTCCTCAATTTTAAATTTTGTTTTTAGGAAAATGGAAAGAGAAGTTGGCTTTGGCGAATAAATTCAGCTTGATTGAGCTAACTCTTTGGTGTACCCGGCCTTTTCTTTTCCTCTAACGGTGATGCCTAGGATTTATTTTGACAACCAATTTCCTTTGATAGGTTTTCTGCTGGGGACAAGGCAAACCATCTTGGAGACGAAAGACGGTGGGAACACGTGGGTTCCGCGTTCTATACCATCGGCCGAGGACGAAGATTTTAATTACCGATTTAATTCAATCAGTTTCAAAGGAAAGGAAGGCTGGATTGTAGGAAAGCCTGCCATTTTGTTATACACTTCTGATGCTGGAGAAAGTTGGGAGAGGATACCATTAAGCGCACAACTTCCTGGTGATATGGTAAGGTTCAACCTTTGCGCACTCGAGATATATTTCTTCTCTCTCTCTCTCTCTCTCTTCGTTTTTGCACAGAAAAAGAAATTGTTGTAAGTTGTTGTGAACTAATAGCTTCTTACTCAGGCGAGTGAAGACTACTGATGCGGAACTCTAAGACCCTTGTTTGAATCTTAGAATTATATAATCGGTTTAGAACAGAATTTAGATCTCAAGTAAAAAAGAAACAAATTTGTTCAATTACCCAAATAGTAAAAGTTAAATAGAAATCAAGAAAGATAAATGATATCCCTTGAACCCAATCCAAACACACCAAGAATAATTGAAATAAGAAATCAAAATTGAATATAAGTGATAACAATTGTATTCTAAATCAACACTTTGTGCATAAAATGAAAAGATAGTCAAAATGTTTTTAACTTAATTCTGAAATATTTGATTACCACTCTTGATGTCCACAAAAAAGAGTTCATTTAGTATTTATAATCAAAGAAATCAATGATAAGTTACAACATAATTGTAACTCTCACAATATTTAGACTAATTATGTAATAATTACAATTGTAACTCCAACAATAATTAGACTAATTATAGACATATAATTGTTATGTAACTCCAATCTTCTTAACCAACGCCACTGATTGTTTGTGGTACCATATAGTTATGTGTTCATTCTTGTAATAACACTAAGATAAGAGTTAACCTCAAATGGGTTACACTTGACTATATGGGCTTAATTAACTCAAACTAAAATAAAACAATTTAAAATATTTAAAATAATTCAACTAATCTAACCCATACACAAGGTTTATTTACCCATTACCAATAACATTCAAACAAGCTCAAATTATCCCAAATCATTTAAACCCAATCAAAGTTACGAATTTGATATGTTCAAAAAGCTCATATTTAAACTTTTCACAATTGACCAGCCCATCATCCACAAGTTTTTGAGTGAAAACTTGGAGTAAATCTTTAAGCTTCTTTGCCTTTGGTCTTGTTACTGGTCCACTTAAACTTTTTAGGTTTGAAACTCTATTTGTGTTTACGTTATTTAAAATTTGCTCTAAGTCACATTTTGATGCTCTTTGAATATCTTGAGTATTTTTAGCCTTATTTGCATCACTCTCCCTCCCCTCAAAAGGATTTGTTCTCGAATCAATTCCTGCATCAATTTCAAAAGGGGATAAATCAGATATGTTAAATGTAGTCGAAACACTATACTCACCTGGTAGGTCCACGTTGTAGGCATTTTCATTGATTTTAGCTATGATTTGAAATGGACCATCCCCACGAGCATCCAACTTAGATTTCCGTTTTGATAGAAATCGTTATTTGCGCAAATGAACCCACACCCAATCTCTGGGTTCAAATGAAATCTTGTGGCTTCCTTTATTGACATGGGATGCTACTTGTTCATTTTTTTTTCAATGTTCTGCCTTAGTTTTTCATGAATTACTTTAACCATTTTGACTTTCTTATGTCCATCCAAATTAGAAATGTCACTTATAGGAATAGGCAACAAACCAAGTAGAGTTAAAGGATTAAAACCATACACAATTTCAAAAGTAGAAAACTCAGTAAAATAATGTATACTCCGATTATAAGCAAATTCAACAAATGGTAGCATATCTTCCCAAGTTTTAACATTCCTTCCAATTAAAACACATAATAATGTAACAAGTATTCTATTTGTTACTTCAGTTTAACCATCCGTTTGTGGATGTGAAATAGTAGAAAATAAAAGTTTAGTCTCAAGTTTGGACCACAAAACTCGCCAAAAGTGGTTTAAAAACTTAATATCCCTATCGGACACAATAGTTTTAGGAATGCCATGCATTCTAACAATTTTGGGGAAAAACAAATCTGTTATGTGTGTGGCATCATTTGTTTTGTGACATGGCATAAAGTGTGCCATTTTGGAAAAACGATTAACAACAACAAAT